TAGAAAGGGTAGTTTCACCTTTTCAAAAGAGTGTAGAATTTCTATGCAATACCAATCCTCCTATATGGAAGTGAATGCAAGAGAATTTCCTGACAAATGAAGAGGGGAGACGTGGCGCAGAGATGTCGTTATAAACAAGAATGCTGAGAATAACATGGACGAATCGTGTAAGCAATTAGAAAGTTTTCAGAAAAATCGAAACAAACAGGACACATATGTAGAATCAGCTGAAATAACGAGAAAAGAAGGCTTGGAGAATCTGATACACACAAAACAGTGGGGAAGAGGATAACAACGAGAAACGTACCTAATGAACTTGTGTAAAAGAATGACAGAAAATGGACAGGATAGGGGAACAAACATGTCTTAAGTGTTACAAAGGATAGGAAGTCGTGGAGAACCATGATCACCTGGAATATCGAAAGTGGCCTTCCAAAAACGAAGTAAAATATCAAGGAACATTAAAATTCCGTTGGAAACAAAGATAAGAATGCTTTGCTGTTATGCAATATCAATCCTCCATTATGACAATGAATGCTGGACAATTTCCTCACTGATGAAGAAGAAATTTCAGGCAACGGAGATGTTATTCTACAGAAAGATGCTGGGAATACAATGAAATTTTAAGGAACGAATAGTGTACCTTTGCTTAGGATAAAAAACGGACAGTTGAAATTTCTGTGGTATATAATGAGGAAAGGGAGCTTGGAGAAACTGACACTCACAAGACAGAAGAACAAAGGGAAACAGTAACATACCTGAGGAACTTGTGCAAATGAATGGCAGAAAATGAACAGGGAGAGATAGTAAGGGAACAAAGAGTTATAAAGGATAGGAAGTCGTGGAGATTCGTGCTTGGTTACTTTCTGAGTGGACATGGCAGAGAAAAGTTATTAATACTTCAGCGTTTAATGTGTGTATGGGAACGGAAAAAAAGAATAAAGTCAAAGAGATGCAATCCGAAAAATCTTTGGAATAGCGAAAATGTCTTTGAGAAACTAAGCAAAATATTAATAAGAAAAGATCGTTAGAATTAAATAAAAGAGTTTCTGAAATGTAATCTGATACTAACCTTTCTATATGGTAGCGAACGCTGTACAATTTCCTTACGAACGAGGATGAGAATTAAGGCAACAGGAATATGGTTCTGCTGAAGAATACTGAGAATAGCAAGGAACACAACAAAGAGAGAGAGGAGATGGTTCTAGCCAGACTCCGTATAGGACACACATATACATAAGCCACCAACATCTACTAAAAAATGAGCAAACGCTAATATGTGTCCCATGCTAGAAACGATATACAGTCAAACACATTTTACTAAATTACTGTAACTCCCAGCAAACCTGAAACAAACTCTACAAATCGGATATATATATATATATATATATATATATATATATATATATATATATATATATATATATATATATATATATATATATTTATTTAAAAAATATGATTCCATGGAATCATATTTTTTAAATAAATAATTATATTTATGCTCTACTTTTGTATCGAGGACTATTTTTTAAAAATAATAACAAAAATACTAAAGAACTTATTATTTACCTAGCGAGTTCTTTCCTATTTTACGAGCTTACAAGGTTACTTGACCGATGAGACACGGAGGTATAATGGATAGCGGCTTGGATTGAGGAATCGGAGAGCCGAGTTCGAATTCCAGTCAAATCCATTACATTCACTTACGAGCTAATACCCTTGGGAAAGATATGAATCCTCTTCTTCTCCCTCCAGCTATAGGCAGGGTTAGGGTTAGGGTTAGCAGGACAGACAGGGGGTGTATAGCCTTGGATGGCAACTGGTCTACCGCAGAAGGAAATGGCAACCTGCTGCGGGAAAGATACATAATCGCCTAAGCGTGTATCACGTATGGCACATAACTGACTGATATTCACGTACGCGCAAATGTTCTTGGGAAAGCTATCTTCTCCTCTCCTCATCTATGAGTAAATAGTTCTATAGCCTTAGATGGTAACCGCAGAAAGAAATGGCAACCTACTGCGGAAAAAAATCTGCCTCGTCAGTCATGTATTGAAAGTTACATGATCGCCTACGTGTGTAACACGCATGGCACATAACTGACTGACTTGACCGTTCGAAGGCGTATACCTAAGCCGTATCTCTCCCACAGTGGAAGGCTAGGATTAATCCCTGTCGCCTGAGGTATTTCTATAGGGAAATGCCAAGGGAATTTAAACAATTTTTGTCCCTAGTCTCGTGTTTGCGTAGGATTTTTTTCCGTTCGAGTGGGTGCACAGATAAACCGTGCTACCCATACAATTCTATATGGGATATTGTGGAGGACCATGACCGTCCACATCCTGAATTGACATATCAGATAAAAGAAGAAACAAAGCTTTACATTAAATCCCATCAAGGAAACTGCAATTATGCTATTTGGTGTTCCTTGTCTTCTTAGGAAATCCGTAACATTTTCTTTCTGAGCAACCTGAGAAATATTCGTGATGGAGAATATTAAAATATTTCTATTCTTTCTTATGCTGTGTAATTCACGTCATGTTTATGCTTGAGTTGATATCATATTTATTAGTGTAACGTTTTTCGCGCCATAAATATTTGCCTGTAAGTAGCCACGAATCGTGACAGACCCATTTCTGCTTCAAATTTACTAATGCATGGCTTAACGTATGACTTACGTTCTGCACTGTTAGGCCGCTCCGCTCTCAAAGAAAACAGAAGAATTATCAGATTGACAATTAAATGAAAGAATAAAGGCAAAGGCTACGGGGTCGCTAGCACAACTAAAAGTATTGCCCCACCTTAATTACTACGCCTGGGCTCGGTGTTACCAAAAAGGGAAATTTATTTCAGTCATCTAATTCATGTTTTCTTATACGCCTAAATACAGTAAAATGATTGAGTGGCAAACATGAATTTAAAAGTGTTTTCCACAGACCAAAAAATACACTATATCCAGAAAATGACTTTATAATATTCCAGATATATATTTCTCTGTAATCTTTTGCTGCATTGAATTTATCTCCCTTGCACTGGGGAAGCCAGTTGACAGTAACTTTGTTTCGACAATAGCGGAGTATTCCACTATTTCCTGTCCATTGTAACTCTTAATAAATTTTGTCTTTTTGTTACGAAGCCTTGAGATGAAAAAAAAGTAATCAATTACGTAAAAGAACACTACAACCTTTTTCCTCTTCTTCATCTTCTTCTTCTTCTTCTATGTACCGTGTCGATCATGACTCTCCACTATTCCCAGCCCTTTGTAGCTCTTAATAAATTTTCTCTTTTTGCTATATCTCGTCAACGTTGTTCTGCCATCTATCTACGCAAGTTCGCTAGGCAGGTCATGCATTGTTTTCCTCTGTCCATCTTGCCTTCAGTCCAGTACAAACCAGACGAATGTATACCTTTTTGACGCTCGTTAACCGAAACCATACGTATGTTCTTTAATCTAGTTCTATGTCTTTTTTTTCCTATGTGCATTCAGGGCGTGAGCGACCGTGGCTCTCCACAATTTCCTGTCCTTTCTAGCACTTTTCTTTTCGCTATCTCTCCTGAATCCAGTTCTACGAACCATTTACATAAGTTCGCTTGGTAGGTTATGCATTGTTTTCCTCTGTCCCCCTTACCTTTAATCTACCCCGTGAGTGTCAAATTTTCCAAGCCCTCTTTTCTCGTTATGTGCCCAATACATTTCAACTGTCTCTTTCTGGTGCTACGTATAATTGACCTTTTTGCTTCCATTTTCTCAAAAACTTCGCTGTTGCTCAAATGTTCGGTCGATGGTATTCTCAGCATCCTTCTGTAGAACCACATTTCTGTAGCTTCAAGTCTCTTCTTTATGTGTGATGAGATTGTGATATATAGGAGGACTGATATTACATAACAGTTCATTGGAAAATATATTTCAAGACTAACAGCTTTAAAACTAATGATTTTTTGTTGTCATATGGCTTCAGAGTTTTGGTGATCATGGCTCTCCATAGATTCCTTTTCTTTATTCGTTGTGATTTGCCATGCGTTTTGTTTTTGTTTTTTTAAAGGCAGGTGAGTGGTTCCTCCACGGTTTTTTAATTCAGTTTTTTCTTTCTCTAAAACTGACTGTCACTCAATGCTAGATAACCCTAGTCTACCCTGCTATTTAATTTAATTTCCCTTTTCTATATACACCTAAACCCGTCGAAATACAATAAAATGATTGCTTAGTAATAATGAAATTAAAACTGCTTACGAAAAGCGACATTCGGATAAAGTCTTTATAAAACAAAAAGTGTCTATTTTTGTCTAACTTTTTGGCTGTATTAGTCTTATCTCTCTTGCACTGAGGACACCAGCTGGCAGTCTCATTATTTTGAAAATCGCGTAGTGTTCCAAGGAAGCACGGTGCAGTAATGGATTGCGGCTCGGACAGAGGAATCAGAGAGCCGAGTTCAAATTCCAGTCGAATCCGCTGCATTCACTTACGTGCTAATACCCTTGGGAAAGGTACGAATCCCTTTTTTTCTCGCTCCCAGCTATGGGTAAATAGCAGGTCAGACCGGGTTCTATAGGCTTGGATGGCAACTTGTCTACTGCAGAAGGAAATGGCAACCTACTGCAGGAAAAAAATGTGCCTCGTCAGTCATGTATCAAAAGATGCATGGTCGCCGATGCTTGTATCACGCATGGCACATAACTGACTAATAGTATTCCATGATATTTATGAATCTTTGAAATGAAAAAAAAATCCGTGCAACAAAAATTTCATTGATTTTTTATGTCTTATCAACCTTTTGAAGGTTATTTAAAGCCGGAAAATGTTTTTAGATTGTAATATTAGGGGGAGGTACAAGTTTTACTATTTAACCCATAGCTGGGGAATAAAGGTGTTTTCATACCTTTTCCGACGGTATTTTCACATGAATATTAATGAATATAACGAAATTGACGGGAATTCGAGCTCGGACCTCCGATTAAGAATTTGAGACTCTATGCATTACACCATCCGCACCCCCAAACTTACAGCACATGATATTCCCAAGTGGTCACCTATCTAGGTAATGACCAGGCTCGGTGTTGCTTAACTTCTGTGACTGTGCGGAAACTGGTGTTTCGATGTGGTATGGCCGTAAGCCGATTTTTTTTTTTTTTTTTTTTGGATATGCTGCAACCTATTCAAAGGTATCGAACTTCAAAGGTATCGAAAAAAAAATTATGTAAACAAATCGACAGAACGCAGTGGGTGGGAAAAAATCTATTTGTTCTGAAAATGCCCTCCTAAAAGGGAAGAAATGGTTTTAAGAAACGATAGTTTTTCTTTTCTGCTATTTCCTAGATATTAAAAATAAAAAAGAAAGGAATGTTCATAGCCATGAAAAGTTACGAAACTGGAAGTAATAAAAGAATAAAGGAATAAAAGAATAAAGGAATAATAGTTTAAAAGAAAAATTTGTCTGTCTTTATTTTCATTCATCCACGCTCAGCGTTCGTTTCTTAAAAGCGTGACCGTTTCTTTCTTTATTCTCCTCTTCTTTGCTTTCTTTCTCTCCTTATTTTATTTTTTATCTGCCCTTTGATATTTTCAACTAATCAAGGCTTAGTCATCCAGCAAGTGAATTCTTGCACACACTATCAGTTATTTGATTAGAAAAGCAATGGGATCGGTGTCCAAATCACTCGTTCTGGTTACTGAACGTTTTCATATCACACTGACTTCTAGATAAGGTCACGTGATTAAAAGTGGTTCCTACTTTAATTGCATGCTTCCTCTTCTTTAAACACTGCTTCACGACACTACCCTATCGGCAGGGCTAGAATACGCCCTGTAACCCCTGCAGAAGTGCATGACCCCTTCAAAAAGGTTTACTTTCTGGGTTGATACTTTTAACTTGGGTATAAAAAGAAACAATAACTAACTTTTGACTAGTGTAAACCAGAACTATACCTTTTTTGTAAAATGAATTTTATTTATTTTTATTTTTATTTTTTTTAGAATAAGCTTCACCCTTTACAAGACCACTCGAGGTAGAGGGTTACGTTACGAGGCAATTTGTGCGGATAAGAGAGGAAGATAACGGTTAACCATAGCCTTGAACAGGTTAAGATTGTAGTGATCGGGAAAACATCCTCTTGGAGACGATTCCACAGATTAGTGGTTCGCTGGAAGAAGCTACTCGAGTGGAACTTACTTCTCACCGATGGAACACGGGAGGAATGTGGGTGGTATGCTACGATGTAAGTGGCATGGCCTAACTTGCCGTGAAGGTTTGAACTAGTTCGTCCGAGCACTTTCCGTGGAAGTAGCGTTAAAACAGCGTGAGGATTGTCACACCCTGCCTGTGGGAGAGAGGTTGAAGGGTGGAGAATAATTCGTACGAGAACCAGTGTTTCAACGCGATATGGCCGTAAACCGAACTACAGTGAGTAACCGAACGTTCTTTGTGAAAACAATGTATATTTAGTTTTATCTATGACACTAGAGTTTATCATGGTGAGTGGGTGGATTTTACGACATATCTAACTTTGTTCAGTTATTTAATATCGAAATCTGATGTTATTATACTTGAATCTATAGGAAAACAAGACTCAGGTTTGTATCTGTAGGTAAACATTGATCTGTTTCAAACATTGATCTACTTCAAACATTGATCTGTTTCAAACATTGATCTGCTTCAAACATTGATCTGTTTCAAACAGTGATCTGCTTCAAACATTGAGCTGTTTCAAACAGTGATCTGCTTCAAACATTGATCTGCTTCAAACATTGATCAGTTTCAAACATTGATCTGCTTCAAACTTGTGATTATAGTTAAAGATTGATCTGGTTCAAGCTTAAGTTTATAAACATTGGTCGGATTTATAGTTTATTTAATTGTTAAACATTTGTCGGATTCAAATTTGTGAATATGGATTCTCATTGGTTTGGTTTCAATTTAAGTCTATCAACATTGGTGGGGTTTATACTTGTGTTCATTCGTAAACATTTTTTACGGTAAAATTCACACTGCACAAGGCCTGGGAGCCACTCGAGGTTTCAGTTAAAAACAATTTCTGCTGGAAGATCGGTTAAACTTGTTGATTATCGGGTTGGAAAAGAGGTTTGATCTGGTAACTTATTTTTTCAATGGCTGGGGTTTATAAACATTGGTCGGAAGGTTTGAATTGGCGGCGACAGAGAAGTTTACATTTAATTGAAAAAATTTAAGTGTAAATCAGACATATGTCTACCTTTTTTGACGCTTGTACAAACCAGAACTATGCCTATGTTTTTGACTCTAGTATAAATTGAATCTATGTTTACTTTTCTATGTGTCGTGTCCGTTCAGGCCGTGAGCAACTATGGCTCTCCACAACTTCCTTTCTTTTGTATTCCTTAGTAAAATCCAAGTGCTGCCAACAATTGGAATCTCATTGCTTTGGTTTTTTTAATCTGTCCTTCAATCTACATTTGAGTGTCTAATTTTCCAAGCCCTCTTTCCTCATTAGGTGCCCTAGAAATTTCAACTGTTTCTTTCTTAAACTACGTATGTGTCCTTTTTGTTTCCATTTTCTGTAAAACTTTGTTGTTTTTTCATTTCGGTAATCTGTGATGAGATTCCAACATTCACTGCCGAAGTAACTGTACTCTTTTCTTTTCATTAATACATCGTGAGTTTTTTTGTTCTGTAGGGTTAGTTATTCGACATTAAATACGTGTCGAGATGTCGTTAAATTTACCAACGACTTCATTTTTGCAAGCATTATCATGTAAATGTAGTATCAACATTTTTAATTGATGTCTCACCAGAAGCGTTCAGGAAATCCAACAAATTTTTAAACGCGTGAAGGCAGTATAGGAAGATAACTTAACCGCTATAAATGCTGCTCAGCGGTTGATTGTTTTTTTACAAAGTTGAGAACATTCTTGAACAGCGGAACTGAGTTCAGATTGTTTTCAAAATAAAAGCTTTTCCAGAATCGGGGTAAACATCCTCTTTGACTGATCACTTTTTTTCCTTTTTAATCGGTCGAAAGAATGGAGGACTTGCCCGCCTTTACAGGGTAACCGGATCTTAAAGAGAAAACCCGGATATAGAGAGATTTTCTCTGTCCCAAATTAGAACCTGTGTTAATGTATATAAAATAGACCAAACCGGATATAAGAGAAACGGATATAAGAGAAACCGGATATAAGAGCCGGATGAAACCCGGATATTTCTTTCTTATATGGGGCCCATCAGTCGGAAAAAAAATATACAAACAGAATTTTCTATTTTATTTTATTATTATTTGAATTAGCTTTTTGTCCAAGATGAGTAAATTTTTGTCTATTTAAAATAATTTTATTATATTTTACTATATTCATTTAAATAAACGAAAAGATTACTTCAAATCGCTTTCAATGTTTGTTGTCAAACAAAAAGAGAAATTAGTGCCATAGACTTATATTTCAGTTTGATTCACATTGTGCGTGTGTGTGTGTACGTTTGTCTGTGTACATTTATATTTTAATTCAATGACAGACTTCAAAATATTTTTAAATCTTTCTTTAAACTGATTCTATTTATTACTCAAGTAATTTCCAAAAAGTTTGTTAAAAACATATAATTATGTAATATTTTTAGGGTTTAAGAAATTGTTGTCTTTTTTTGTCTGCAATTTTATTATTTTATTGCTCAAAGTAACTGGTTGGAAAGGGTATCTGATCTCAGGACTATAACACATATCAATTTCGTATTTCATCTCAGCTATACATATCCAGTTTCTTTTCCATTGACGGAAGCATCCCTGGAACTCCTTTTTTATTTCGTTTTTGAAAAAGTGGGATTTGATTTTTTAAAGTCGCAAGAGGCGAGATCTGGGAATATGGAGTATGTTAAATAATAAAACTTAATTTTTGGTCACTAACAAAAATTATGTTGTGTTGAAAAACGAATTTTACAAACTTTCCTCCCAAGCACTGCATAATAAACAATGCTATGCGCAACAGATTTCAAAGTCAATCAATGGAACAGACTCTCCCTGCATTCTTTAGAACCATAATCTGACCTCTTATATTATTCTATTTTATTTTTCAAACTTAGTCAAAATATATGCGTGCGCGTCTATACATTAAACGGTAAAAGTACATAGGTGTAATCTGTACATGCTCAACATACATATATATATATATATATATATATATATATATATATTAAATTCATGCAAAGTCAGACTCCCTTACGGACAGAGAATCAAGTTTTTTTTGTTTTTTTTGCTTTCCTTCGTAAAAAGAAAATGTTTAAATCTTTCTGTTGACATTCATTTTTTTCTGATGATAATCAGTTTCAATTTATCATTTTTTCTGCTTTCATCTTGCCTCAAAGCCCCCCCCATACACAAGGCACACATACGCTCTAATTTTACGCACTAAAACATCAAATACGAACAACACAAAGAATAAATGTTATATAACCAAAATCATTGAGTTGCTTTACCTTTGAAGGTGTTGTTTACTAAACGAACATTCAGTTAACTTATCAACTTGTGTGGCGTCAGATTTCCGATAAACACTGCAATTATTACTTATATTATTTGGACTGTTATCCTCATTTTTGTTGCCATATTCACAACATTTCGGTTGCTTGTACGCTCTTGCATTCTTCAGGTGATTGGAATTTCGGGGTTTTTAGATTGTTCTAAATGCCTCTTTCCGGGTGTGGTTATTTTTCTTTAAAATGGTTTGGTTGCCTGGTATTGAACTCACAACTCCTTAGGGTCTAATCACTGGATCTAAGCAGCGTCTTTATCCCCTAGGCCACTTGAGGACAATTTTTTGGGGCAATTTTTTTCGGATGTTTGGTGAAATCTTCCCAATTTATGGTATTGTTGGATTCATCAGTTTAACATTTGTGTTGATTTTCAAACACTATGATAGGTTGAAGAAAAATATATTTGGCAAAAAATGTTTAATCATTTCTTTAATTTAAGTTACTTTTAAACTTTTTGAAGAATTCTTTGGTTAAGATTGATCGTAAATTTTTTCTGGGGCCAAATTATCTTTTTGGAATAAATTTGTTGACGGGTATCCTGAATACGGCCAGCTATACATACATTTTATTTTTACTTAATTTTTCAAAAAATTTGGAAATTTATTGTTCTAAGTTGAACTTAC